GTCGTGAACAGAAGCGTTCATGACCCGAGGTACCACTGTACATCTGCCTATAATCTACTGTAGAGAATCTGTTTATCAGATTATTTAATGAACATTATAGTTTTCTAGGTTTAGTACAGGTAGTCCTTGCTTAACAACCACAGTAGGGACCAGAAAATTGGTAATTAAGCAAGGTAGCTGTTAAGTGAGTTGCCATATGACCAGATCTGATTTTAGGACTATTTTACTACAGTCATTAAGCGAATCACTGCAGTCATTAAGTGAATCATGTGGTCTTTAAGCAAATCCAGCTTCCCCAATGGATGTTTTTTGCTGGAATTCACTTAACGACCATGTGATTTGCTTAACCGCAGTGATTTGCTTAACAACCATTGTAAAAAAGGTCGCAAATCACAATCATGTGACTGCAGGGGTGTGCAACAGTTTGTGACAGTGGTAAGTGTGAGTACAGGTCATAAAGCACTTTTTCAAGGCCGTCATAACTTTGAACTGTCGTTAAACGAATGGTCGTAAAGCAAGGACTACTTATGTTTCCATTAACAAGAGGTGTGTGTGTGTGTATGTATATATATATATTGCAGCAGCTTACATTGGCCTCGTGTGTAAGCTGCTGCTCAATTAGCAAGACTGATTTGCAAATTGCTACAAAGATATCAAAAACAATGTATTGCAAACATCAAAATAAGAAATCACCATTCTACTTACTTTCAAAAGCCTCTTCACTGTCATTATCTTCATCAGAACTAATTTCAGCATATTTTGGTTTTTCGTTTACTGTGCTACGCTTACGTTTATTCATTTTCACTCGTTCACAAAGTGGCATGGTAGATTCAATTTCTGCTAGTAGTTCTGGAGGTAATTCCTTTAACACTGACTGATCTATGCTACCTATTAATCAAGAGTAAACTGTAAGTGAATATAAATCCAAATACAGTGTTAATATCTGCAAGACAAGACTTATTAACATTTTATACTGCTTTTCACATCAAACCCCCAAGCCAATTTATAAATTATTAATGTTACAGAAACTTAAAAACACCCAATATTATCTGTTTCTATTTATTAAAAATGGAAAAAGTGTGGTGAAATGTAAACATGACAAGAACTCTGTTGTAAAAAAGAATCTAAAATGTTTCCATCTCATTCAGAAGCTATCTACCTCAGTAGATACTATATAAATATAATACATAGCATTTTCTTTGCAATCATTTGTTATTAATTTATTGTTGGGATAAGCAAATAGTGTGTGTTAGCATGCAACAACACCTCTGAAGTTATTTTCTATTCACAGATATAAATTATATTGACAAGATTCAGATTCTTTTCTTATAGTAGAAAGAGCAACTGTTCACATACATTTACAGCGATGTTTACACACAAGTACAAAACCAAATAAATAATAGAGGTAGCACACATTTTTCCCTATATATGACAATAATAAGTAAATGCCAAAGCCAGCGGAATCAGATTAAAAAGTTCTTCCAGTCCACCTTCTTGAATGTATCTGTTCATAATGAGATGCTACCTAACACTTTGCAAAGAACTTTCACCCATAGACATGAGAAATATCTTCAACAGTGCAAGTTTCAAAGTGGTGAAAGATTTACCAGTCTATAGCAGAATATATCAATGAAGCAATACATATGCTCTCAGTTTTCTAATAAAAGCAAAAGGCTTTTCACAAAAGTATCTCTTCTCCCATTGTTGTCACAACACTTGAACCATATTTTCATTCTATTGAAAGTTATAATTCATATAACTGCAATAAATACATAAATAAAATTAATCTGTTTTAACATCTATTTCCACTTCCATATATAAGACTTTTCTCCAGATAGTACTGTAGATTAAGACCCATTTAAATATATATTTACATTTACTTTAAGAATTATATGAAAATAGAAGATCAAATATTGTCATCTGAAATTAATCTGAAAAGTATTATTGAAAACAAGAAATAAATACACACTGGGACTGATTTGTGGAATATTATGGTTGAATGTTAGAAATGAGATCTTTAACTCCAATGATTATATTTGTTTACCTGAAGAATAAGCAGCACTATTTTGCAACCTAGTATAGATTAAAATTATTAGCAGACTGAACATTAACTTTTCTTCATTTACCTAATTTTTATATACATTTGTGAACATACAATTTTTTAAAGTCACATTTCTGTCATCTTCAGATAGAATACCTATTATGTATGTCATGGTAAGCATTTATAAAAAAAATACCATTAATAGCTGAGAAAAGATAATCAAGCCCATAAATAAGAAAAAAGGTTATACTGTAGTTTCAAAACTAAGTCAGCAAGAGAAATATAATAAAAGCAAGTAAATTAAATTAGCTTTAGATAGCTAATAATCTGATTAATAATCAGAGCCACACTCATCAATTAATTTTCAAATAAGTTCTTGAAATGGATATTTAAACTGTTCATCTGAGACCCTTCTGGCTGTGTTGTTGCAAGGATATTTTTGAGCGCAACTACCTTCTCAGCTATGTAGCTTTGTCATCTATATAAGCCCTTTGGTGCCTAATTCATTCTAGCATGAGACTTTTTGTGTGTATGTATTTTGCAGCACATTACATTGTTTTGCTTGCTACAGAAAGTTTAGACATGACAAAGGTTCAGGATCTCATTTTAAGCTCTAATTTGTTCAAGAGAAAATATACAGCTGAATTCCTCCTTCCCCACTTTTTTTTTTGGAGTGGGGAGTGGTTTGCAACGTTCTGTCATTGTTCAAGAACAATAAACTGGGACTAGACTTCCCCAAAAGTTTGAATTGAGATAGGCAGTTTACAGCTATCTGTTCCGCCTGATGAACAAAATAACCTACTCATATTATCCCATATGCCTTTCATTCAAACTTGGAGCATAGCTTGAGTTCCTGAATCCATTCCTGATGGCTGAACGAAACTGAGCAGGAATGATCCAGCAGCATGAACCAATATGCTTTCTCACGGACAATAAGACAGCACTTTCCACAACACTGGCTTTCTGTATGAATGTAGCAATAGAGTTTTAATATTTTAACTGTTCTGAAAATGGAATGGACCAATATCACCAGCCCAGATACAAACTGAAAATCTTGATTATTAAGAGATCAAATTATCCCATTGTAAACTAGAATCACTGAATTAGAAGGAACCATTTGAACCACTGACTTCAACCCTCAGCTCAGTGCAGGAATCCAAATTAAACAGCTCCAATGAACAGCTCTCTAAATTCTGCTTGATTACATTCACAGAACTAGATTTGACAACTAATGTAATAAAAATATTCATTTTTGCATGGAAAGATGGATGGAAATAAATCAAAATAAGTGTAACAAATATCTTTATAAATTATTTTCAAGTAATTATTAATAATAATAATTTAATTGTTGAGGAAGGACTTTTTTCTTTTAATATTTATAGTCAAATTCATTAAGATATTAAGCATAATGGATAAAATTTTGCAATCTTACCTTTATTTGATTTGGATGACTTGTTTTTGTTAGATTTGAAACAAGAGCTTCTTGATTTGTCTTCTCTGTCCTTAATAAATTTTTGCACATCATCCAAAGAAAGCTTTTGCAGAACAACTACTGGTTTAGCTCCTTTGTTTAGATCTTCTACTAGTCCAATCTTCTCAACCTTATTCTTCGATTCACTCTTAATTTCTGATTTCCTTGCTTCATGCATAACATTGCCATCTTTATCACGTTTTATTTTTGGAATGATAAAATGTTTTAAAGCCCCAGATCTTCCCCCCAACAAATAACTGGGAAACTCAGCTTTACTATCACTGTGTGCTTTACTACTATCCATTTTGCTCTTATTACCATCTGTCCTCCGATCATCTTTACTGTTCTGTGATTTAAAACTTGGCCTATCTGGTCTTAATTTACTTTCCTGTTTAATACGAGGACTGTCTGGTCTTGATCTCTGATCTCCAGAAGACAGCTTATCCCGGGAATCACCAGACTCATGTCTGTGTTTCCTTTCTAGTCTCTCTGCTTTTGTGTTATCAGATCTAATGATATGCTTAGAATCATGTTCACCCTTACTTGAAGATCGCAAATATTCTGGTCTTCGTAGCTTTGATGCATCTCCTCTGTATCGCTCTGATTCACCCCTGTCCTCAGTTTTTTGTTTAAGGCTATCATGATCCCGCCTCACAGAATCAGAAATTGAACGCCCATCAGGCCTCTGTTTTAATGAGTCAGACCTTTCAGATTTCACCCTGGAAGGATCAGATTTCATGTCCATTTTATATTTAGATATATCAGGCTTCTTCTCCAATGAAGATTTACTAGAATCACGCCTGTTTTCATGTCTGTGTTTAGGGGTTTCTGGCCTGCCTTCATTCTTCTGCTTTGGGGTTTCTGGTCTGCCTTCATTTTTCTGTTTTGGAGTATCTGGCCTCACTTCATTTTTCTGTTTTGGAGTCTCGGGTCTTTGTCTTATTTCCTGTTTGCCATTATTTTGTTTACCCTCATTTTGTTTCACATCCACCTGTCTATTTTCATGTTTGCTTTCATGTTTAACTTCTGCTTGCTTGCTTTCACAGTGTTTAGTTTCAATCCTTTTACCCTCATTTTGTTGTATTCCTGTTTGTTTGTTCTCATTGTGTTGTACTTCCATCTTTAAACCTTCAGAATCTGACTTTTTCCTTAGAGTTTCAGGGAAATTTTCCGTTTTTAGTTTAAGTACTCCAATAACATCGTCTTGGGGAACAAATACAGAACCATCATTACACTGCTTTATCTCTTCAGGCTTTTTGATAATGTCCAAGTCCTGAGTAAGAACTGCCTGAGAGTCTGCCCGTCCTGCTTGCTGTAGATCGATACTAACCATCAAGGCTGGCCGTGACCCATTTCCTGCAGAATTTGTCTCCTGAGAAGCTGGTTTATTTCCTCCTGTAGCACCTCCAGCCTCCTGTGGAAAGGAATCTTGTTTTCGTTTCTTTAAAGGCTTATCTGCAGATCAAAGAAAAATTAAGTTAAAAAGTGCTTATCATTTTACAGAACACTTTATGTAGACACATGAAAACATATATTTTAATATGTCCATACAAGATTATATAATATTGGACTACTGCACATTAATTACATAATTGATGTGGAACATTATTTGGAAAGTATTTACTAATCCCTTTGTAAACCATTTATACAACACTGATAATAATTGTGAAAGGAACTGTAAGTGACCCATGGTTGGTACTTCCTCAAGTCTAAGTTCTTACAAATCAGTTTGAATGTATCAAAGAAACCAAAGAAGCAAGTTGCTTACATGTATCTTGGGTTGTTTGAGTGATCACCTAAGCATTCACATATGAGCGTGGCACGTAAGCAGACTTTTAGCCAAAAGGTTCTAAACTAAAACGTTTAGGTACCATTTGAGCTTCTTTCTTTCTTTCAGTTCAGTGATGGCCAAGAGAGGAAATATTTCTTGACCTTAAGTACCAAGACAATGGGCGAGGAGTGTAGCTTTTATAATGAACAGAAGACTATTTGAAGAACCAAAATACACGTGAGCAAATTGCTATCCTTCATGATTTTTGCAGATCATATATATATGGTTGAACAGTAAGCCAACTTACAGATCATAAGAAGCTATATTTCACAGCAATGAAAGCAATCTCTCCCAAAGCTTGCACTAATTATGCCCAAAGTTCTAGGCAGTAGTGTCATAAAAACGTAGATTAACCAGAGAAGCACTAAACACACATCTGGAAAATGCACACATACATCAACCACAACAGATATTGTTGTGGCTCAAGTTGAATACCAATGCCAGTAAGCAGATAGAGCAGATAAGTGTACTTTAATGGAGAATAACAAGAAGCAGAATCAAACGTATGCTTTCTTTGAGTATAATAAGGAGATGGGGGATTACATTCATAGCAATTCTGTTTGATTAGCTTACTGCAGACTGCAGATTTCCTGTTCTGTATCAACTGCAGACTTCCTGTTGTAAACTAAAGAAAAATATCATAGATCTGTATGGAAAATAAGTGAAAACCTGAATGTTCCATACAATCAGTGCTAGACTCAGAAGACTGGAATACCAAAAATCTCATTGTCTAGTGTGATTAAATCTAGATTATCTACTTGTTGAACCTAGGTTTCCTTCACCAAGTGGAACAGAATCACAAACCACTGGTGACACAGACATTAAGATATGCTTGCTATCCAATTACAGTAGTGGGAACAAATAAAATTCCTCTCTATCTGAACAAAAAGGCTTTGCCTAGGGAAGTACCTTGTTGCAAACAGCATTATCTTTGGCTGTACTACAAACACTTTCATCTATGCCTTCTTCATGTGAAATAAATTCTTGAAAGAGACAGTTCTTGATCAAGTTCTTAAGAATGCTTAGAATTTGATTCAAAGAATCAATAGAGTAGGATTCTTCCAGGCTAAGTGAATGGCCACCAGAAAAAATCATTCGTCCCAAAGTGGAACCACAATATGCAATATAGACACGGATAGGATCCATCCTGACTACTGATGTGAAAAGCTGTACTGTCTACAGTAGGACTGCACTGATATCTCTGGGTCTACATTTCAGCCTGTTCAAGACACATCTACAGTAGTTTAATATCATGATATGGCTGTAACTGCTCAAAGATATATTCAGCTAGCAACTGCTATCCCTGGTCTATTGTTCCAGACACCAACACACTAAGATGCAAATACACATTCTAAATTCTCTTCGGTTTGGCCATGATGAAAAATTTGAAAAATCAAGATTTCAGAGATGCATGCAAAGTTTGGAAATCAAGTCTGTGCTATCAGTTGGACTCACATCTGTTGCACTCAAACTGCTGTGATGAACTTGGTCCAGGATAAGGCATGAGCAGAGTCCACTTCAGCTCAAGGCTTGTCTTGGAGCAAGACCATGAGACTTTCTATCATTTTCAGCATTACTCCAATGAAGTTGGTGGTCTGAGTCAGATTTAAGGAAAACTTCTCTGCACTGCAACAGAGTCAGAGAGAAGCTCACCTGTGAAAAGTGATTTCAACATAGAGCAAGAGTCTGCAATGTGTAGAGACCACTAACAGACAGCTTTTATGTAATAGTACCTTATAACTTATACTTGGAAATGAGAAACAGCTACCATTTAATGAAGACATGCAGTACTGTAGCAAATCTAAGAGAACAACTAGTGATAAGCAAGAGTAAAGGAGAATCACCAAGAATGATTCTTGGTTATGGTGTTAAGAAAGTAAGAGTTTTTCAGATCAACAGCTGTTTACCAGACACTCAGAGATGAGTACTGTGTGAAATTAGTATCTGAAAATAAAACATTCTTAGGCCCAGAATTGGCCTCTATCTTCAGGTCTGCTTCAGCATGTAATACACAAGGAAAAGTGTTAAGAGCTAGTGATTCTCAGTCCAATAGGGATTCAAGCTACTATTAAGTAAACTATCAACTGCAGACTTCCTGTTATCAACAAAGAGAGTCAGCTCCTTTCCAGTCCACCATAAGGCTGTGAGAAAAAGACTGAAATTTTTGTACTATTATCCTTTTCATCTTAATAAATCTTGCTAAAGAAAACTTGTATTTGAAAAAAGAATAACTCAATTCAGGCAGCTCTGAAATCCCTGACAAAAATAATTAGTATATTTTCCAAAAGGCAATAGTGTAGCTCTTCTATAGCGTTCAAGTCAGACAGGGGCAATATACATTTAATCAAGAAGAAGGGATGTTGAAGTACTTGAGAAAGATTCCCATAAGCAGAAGAAATTTAACCTCTGTAACACCTCTATAGGATCTACAATGGTTAAAGTGAACTCTCTATAGTAATCTGTTATCTAGTAGTCTGCAAATGCCCCAAAAGCATGAAAATTAGAGCACATCAAGTAAAAAATTAATGTAAAGATGGCACTTATGTACATATCTAGATTTTTAAAAGACAGATCCCTTAAAATTGAGCTAGATAATGATTTTTATCCTTAAGAAAAGAGTTGGGATGATGGCTGACAGAATCATTGCCAAGTGAAGGGAAAGTGGCAGTTCAGAGGATAGGACCATTTTATGCACTGTTGTTTTTAATTATTTTAGTCTGTCTTTGTGTTGTTTAGAAGAGATTCTTATCATTCCATGGAAGATCAACATTCTAGCTAATTGCCCATGTGAACCTTGCAAAGCCACTCACTGAGTGAGATGGGCAGTGACTAAATTTGAAATATAAATAAATAAAATAAATGATAGTGTAGTGCAATCAAATCATCTAGTTTTAGCACAGCAATTCACAATATCCTCAGCATTATGATTTGTTGCTTGGACAGGTGAGGCATCTCTGCTTCAAAGATTTTGGTTAATTCTTTGCTATCTTTAGAAAGCTTCTCCATAAATGTAGAGACATCATCCCCATTAAAAATGTACATATTATGCTATGCATACCTGGTAGTTTGTTATGTAGAATGTTATAAAATACATTTATTTTCTCATTTTGTCAACCAGTTACCTCTTTTTTATAGGCAAAGTGTGTGTAAGAGAGTGAAGGAGTACTACAGAATCCTGTTTCTGGCATGAAATCTTGCCCATTTGGAGCACTGGTGCTCCTATCAAGGCAGTAGACCTTTGATTACAGCTGAAACATCAGGTCAACCTATGGCAGCTATTTTCTGCAGCCTCAAGAATATGGGCATCTGAATAACTGTTCAGTGTAGGCCCACATACCTTCTAAATGTGACACTGGGTTTTGATTACCCACTCCAACAATGGGAGGAAGATTTATCAGAATTGGAGTCTGGTTAATCCTCTTCAAAGTCACTTAACTAAACATTTAAAGTTAAATGGTGACTGTGATTGTGAAGGTAAAGTTGAGACTGATGCAGTGGTCTTTTGTTGAGAATGAAACAGTACAGAGATCATATCCAAGTAGCTGGCATTGCCCCAATTTTAGCATAGCCTTCCAGTACATGAACTGGAGGAAGTAGGAAGGAAATTATAGGATCTTAATGTGTGAAATTGTCCATAAAAGTTGTGATGTTAGCTCTGACACTGATAATTGCAGAATGGGTACTTCCAATACAGTAACAGGGATGGGTGAAAATGATGAAATCCTGTTAGAAGAAAATTATGCAACTTCTTTTGGTCTACAGCAAATAAGTAAGTAAATGGCCCCCATCCCCACACAAACAAGGTTCCTACATGTCTGAGAAAACATTATGGAAAACCACTTAAAATCTGGGACCATCTAGGTGTAGACAAAGCAGGATTACATGGAACTTCAGGCAGGAGTGGACCAACCTGAATAGGTATTGATAAATTCATATGGCTGGGGACAAGCTGGGCAGAGATCAATGAACTGTTCAGCTACCAGAATCCACTTTGATAGACAGCTCCTCTGTACAGTGAGGTGGTTTGCCTGAAATAATGCCAAAAGACTGAGAGAGATCTCTGCCATGTAACCCCATCTTCCCAAAAAAGAGTGTAAAAATGAGAAACCCAGCTGCATCAAGTCTATGTGGTGAAATGTTAACATCTATGAGATGGCCCTTACCAAGACAGAAAAGGCACTGAGCATGGCAGATAATGAACAGGACCTTTCTCTCATAACTATGTCCTAAACAAACTCTAAAACAGGTGACAGATTCTAACTGCTCCCCCCACAAAAAAAAGAAAAATACAAAATGGAGAAAGAGAAATATGCAAGTTGGTACATGTGTTGAACTACAAACCTCAGCAATAAAACTCTTCAAATAGAATTCTCTGTATGATGCAAAGTTTACATTTCAACTCAGCAACATCCCTAATTACCTGAAACCTACCCGTATGGATTTATTATCAGCTTCACACTGTTGTCTTAAGTAATAAATATTTAGTAGCCTTCTGTGAACTTGCAGATTTCCATAGATTAAGCACTACCCAGTTGTAAAACACCATCAGAATTCAGACCATCCCCCATATAATTAGCCTGCTAGCTGATTAACAATCTATCTGTTTCTTACGTTTCCAAAAAGAAAAGTTTTATGCAAGACTTTCTTATATTTTGTGGAGGTAGATCACAAGCTTAAGATACTTACGGATTTTTGCCATCCTGACATGCATTTGTTTATAATTTCAAAATGTAAAAGCTGTACTTTAAACTTCCTAAATTACCAATAGTTTAAAATGAGTTCTCCAAACTAACAGCCCATTGCAAGAATATATGAAAGATATCTAATTATGAACATTTTACCATGGATAATGTCTCAATATAAATAAAAATTAAATTAGTTCAGAAATGTAGTATGAATAGGTAGAATACTATTCTAGTTTAAAAGTACATATTAAATATTTCACCTAATCAGAAGCGCAACAGTGTTTCATACTACCAGAAGGAAGGGAATAAATAGCCTCTCATGTTATCTCTGAAATTTGAAAGGAGTAACTAGATTTAGTTCATTTAATCTAAGATGAATGCGACGAAATAATATATATAATCCTGGGAAACAAAGTTCTTGGATATTTAAATATGGCAAAAACAAGACAGACAACAGTGCACTGTAGATAAAAATTACAAACTCATGCTATGTTCACTTTGGCATATAATGAAATTAAGATAATGCATAATGAGGATAATTTGAAAACATTTAGTTTATATGCAGTAGAACCTGGCAATTAAAGTAGAAAAATGAAATTTTTGTTTTGCAAAAAGCTAAAAGTAACCACAACCTCTGGCTCAATGCATGAAAGAAAATATATGGTGTGGAGCGCACCATATGATTATATCTCCAATGATCAGATTGTCCACAACCTTGAACAGCTTCTAACCTTGAACAGTTTCTAACCAATGGTTAAATTAATAATAGATTTATAGAGATTAAATTCATTTTGTCATTCATTGGCTATGGTATCTCCATACAGAATTTTCTATATGACTTGAAACAATGCTACAAGTAACACTTCTTCATCTAGTCTTGTAACTATGTCACTGTAACAAAGCAAAAGTAGCATTTATTCTGCATACATACTGACTCATGATCCAGCTATGACCTCCTTATAATCATCTCTTGAAATTATGTTGTCTACACCAGTCATTCCCCAAATATACTACCATATGCATAAACTTTAATTTTTTACATTTTCATGAATTTCAGCCTATCTTCGATATAACCTTGATTTAACATAGTGTTTTTATCTTGTTCCAGGTAATAAATATTGAAATGTAATAAAATCTGTACCAGCTCATGAATGCCAAAAAAGTCTAATTTCAATGAGAATATATGTATTGCTATTTCCAGATTTGAATGTTCAAATAATAGCATATAAATCCTTCAATGTTTTCTAGTCCACATTTCTCAAATTATATCATGACCGTATCACCACAAAAGCCTTGTTACAATCTTAATATGTTCAGTTCAACTGAGCAACTAAATCTCTTCCATAGTGTCAATTCAATCAATTTAACAAGATTTGTTTTGAATAAAGGCATGCTGTCTACTAAGTTCTCTTCAAGGAAAAAACTATGCAGCAAATGAAAAAAAATCTATTAATAAAATATACTCTACTTTGAACATGTTATAAGGTAGCTCTACATGGGGCTGCTCTTGAAGCTTCAACTGGTGCAAAATGCAGCGGCAGGGGCAGTTATGCGTGCTCCTAGAAGAACACATATTACACCTCTGCTTCACGAGTTGCATTGGCTGCCGGTTTGCTTTCGGGTCCAATTCAAGGTCCTAGTTTTGACCTTTAAAGCCCTTCATGGCACGGGGCCAGGTTATCTGAAGGACTGCCTCTCCCCGATTACATCAGCCTATCCCATTAGATCTGACAGGGAAGGTCTGCTATACGTTCCATTGGCCAGGGACTTGCATTTGATGGGTCCCAGATGGTGGGCCTTCTCTGCCATGGCTCCCTCCTTGTGGAACATTCTCCCTCCTGAAGTTAGGCTCGCCCCTTCACTGCTGTTGTTTAGGAAGTCCCTCAAGACCTGGTTGTGTCATCAGGCCTCGGGATCTTTGGGAACCGGAGACATTCTTAGATGGCTCCACTGTAATTGATATTCAGCATTCTCCATGGGGTTTGTATATTTTAAAATCTAAATTTTTAATTTTTTGATAACGTTTTTATTTTAATAATCACTTTTTATCTTTTTTTAATGCTTGCATTCACTTATTATTTAATTGTTGTACGCCACCCAAAGTCACTTTGTGTGAGATGGGCGTCTATATAAATGTGACATGTAAATAAATACATACATATAAATGTATCTTTGGAACAAATATTTGATTTAACTAAAAAGGACACTGTTTTGTACATAACCAAATCTTACAACTTAATACTTTGGTCTACGATTATGGCACATAAAATCAGATTGGCTATTTGAAATTTTTCTTTGTAAGAAAGAAGGAATTTTGGAATTGAAATCACGCACATCGTTGTTCAGTTTAAAAGGATTCCAGATATCGTATGTTCCTACATCACCAATTTTACAGTTCAAATGTTTTAATTAATTATGCAAGGCATAGTCTTCTTTTCTGAAATTACCTTCTTCTTTCTCTTACATAGGTCTATGATGATCAGAATAATGGTACATTGCCTGTTCTAATCTAAGACCACTCCATTTGTTATTTTTTCACTGCCTACTGTTCTCATTCATCTCCAATTCATCTATAATCATTCTTCTAGAAAACCCATTTTTATTAATACACTTTCTTTTAATGTCTCACCATTTCCTCAAGAAATGTACTTAAAACAACTTCCTTAGAGGAAAAAACAGTTTTGTTTTTTTTAAAGATCCTATTTAAACTGTTAACTTTTTACAAATGCATCTGAAAAAAGTACAATTTAAATTTCTCTGCATCCACAAGATCAATTCCAGAAGATCTTACGGTCTTCAAAAAATCTGAGGTAATAAATCTAAGGCAATTTCAATCCTTACATTCAAATACAATGAGATTTATTTCTGAGTAAACGTAAGTGAAATTGCTCTACAATTATGACAGTATAACTGTCAAATGTGCTCCTCTGTTGAGAGTTTAGAATTATTCAATCATAGTTCTAGTGTTGATTTGAATGACAGATCTTCATGATATGTCTTTGTCCTATTCATACACCACACTGAGCCATAATATGGTTTACTTGATTCTAGTTTAGGATGCTGTGAAGGTAATTTTAATACATTTGCTAAAGCGTGCTGAAGTACTATAGTGTTTTGTGATTTAAGAACCTAGTCTGTGAACAGATTTGAATAGGTTTCAGCAAGAGGCCATGTCTTTGTAAAGTACTATTAACTGCCAATATATAATAAGAAATATACTCTTCTACAATTCTGTATTTTGAAACTGCCTTCTGTGTATTGTCAAAAATGTATCCCTAAAGCAATTGCATATGTCTTTTCAACACTAAGGATATTCAACTATTTTTTAGACTACAAGCATTTTTACCTTTGTCTTGCACTTCTTTTGAAAACCGTTCCCTTTCAATAGCTGATTCCCGTTCTATCCGTTCAATTTCAGCCAATGCATCCAATTCTACTTCATCATATGGCGTAATAGTCCCATGCTGTGAAACCTGTGGATGTGTCTGTACCAAAGGATTTTGAGGTTGTTTTGCAGAAACTGAAGTGTTCGGTTGTAAAACAGGCACTTGTTGCGCCTGGAGGAATGCTGTTTGTTCATGCTGCGGCAAACACTGAGCAGCATTTAGAGGCCTATTAATATCCTGTGGAGTAACTGGCGTTTTAGATGTCTGTCCTGGATACTGCACATTAAAAGAAATATCCCCTTCTGATGCATTACTGTTTTCCAAACCAGAAAGCATATCATCCTGCTGGTCCATATCTGAAGATCTTATACGAGTGAGTCTTAACGTAAGTTTAGTTGAGTCCTTGGATGGAGAACTAATAATATCATACATTGCAGCTTTTTCAGTCTGGTCTTTTTCATCTTTGACTAACTTCATTTTCTTTTGTTTCTTTTGCTTTCTTTCTGGAGAATCTAACAATATGTCTGGGGGAACATCTCTAGGTGATGAGTAAGGTGGAGGCTGAGATGGAAGTATTAAAGGTGGTCTTGATCCTAGAATAATAATTCAGAAAAACTGAGTAGTTATGTAGATTCATATTTTCGTGACAGCACACACAATGTAACAACCTTTATTAATAATTCATACTGATACATATATATGTCTTTACAAAATAAAAAATGAATTCTGAAAATGAATTATTTTTACTACAACAAAATCTATACCTATCAATCTGGCAATCCACATCTAGCAGAAGAGTCACTCTAAGAAATATGGCAAGACTTTTGACATAGTAAGTTCACAGTTCAGATCAAGGTTGTCAGCTATTAGAAACAAAGATTTTAAAAAATCAGCCAATGCAAGAAGTTTAAAGATGGTTAACTCCCCGCTACAGTGATGAAAGACCAAAATAAAATATAGACAATAAAACTGCATTGCAACATACACACATAACATCAAACATAAAAAGCATGCATATTTTATATGCAAGAAGAAAAAAATTTTTTTTAAAATAGTTAGCAGATTAGTTGCCTTTGTTTTTTTTCAGTAATTGACTGATACCATTTGTACATAAGAATTATTGTATATTTACAAGCTGGACTGTGGTTGCCCAGACATTATGTACTTTGTTATTGTTTATAAGCATCACATCTTCTCCAACATTCAGGCAATATATTTCAAATAAGCAAAGTGGACTTCATATCACATCTTTTAATTAATCAAATGCACTCCTTTTCTCTGATGAACTTTTACCTTATTTTTGTCTCCACAAAAATATTTGAGATATCATCCATCACATCTTCTCCAACATTCAGGCAATATATTTCAAAGGAATAAGCAAAGTGGACTTCATATCACATCTTTTAATTAATCAAATGCACTCCTTTTCTCTGATGAACTCATCACATCTTCTCCAACATTCAGGCAATATATTTCAAAGGAATAAGCAAAGTGGACTTCATATCACATCTTTTAATTAATCAAATGCACTCCTTTTCTCTGATGAACTCATCACATCTTCTCCAACATTCAGGCAATATATTTCAAAGGAATAAGCAAAGTGGACTTCATATCACATCTTTTAATTAATCAAATGCACTCCTTTTCTCTGATGAACTTTTACCTTATTTTTGTCTCCACAAAAATATTTGAGATATCATCTAGAGTCCATTTAAGGACTCAAGTGGGGATAAAACTCGTGTTTTTTTTTTAAATCAATAATTATTCAAGTTGCTCTTTGTCAACTAAAAATACTTCCCTTTCTTGGGTATAAGTCTCTTCTGCCCTTCAGAAAATAGGTAGGTAGAGATTAATAATTTATATGAGGCTGTTGCATTTTCAGCTAATCAGCTTAAATTCACAAATATGAGAATTTAAGATTAATTCAAAACATCACTATACTACTTCACCAATAGATAGGGTATAGCCCGTGAAGCAACTAGCAAGCACTACTTTATAGTTTTCATGATAATATCTATACTTTAAATGCAAATATATTTGAAAAACAAAGTCTATATATATAACACAGGCATATGCTTGTCTACTTCATTTTTATAGCTATCTTTTAAACTTTACTACTGTTTCTAACATGCAAATGTGAATCTTACCATGTTGTGTGAGACAAGATCTAGCCCTTTGGTGCATCATCATCCTGATCTACCCATAAAACTCAGATTTTTAAAGATTTGCCTCCAAAGAAGCCATTTTATTTCATTAGGCTAGATACTGTAATTACATAAAAACTTCATTTTTTTAGATATCAGCAACTGTATAGTAGTGTTTTTAATTAATATTATTTATTCCTTGTCCAAAGCTATCATTCCAGCACTATGATATGGAGTTCAAATCGTGTTTTCAGCATCCCAGATAAAATACAAAATGGATTTTGCACAATCTCTTATAAAAAGTATCGTAAGAATCATTATTTAGTGTTGAACTTTAGGAGCTGGCAGTTACATTTTATTTTTGTTATGCATTTTTTAAAAAATGAATTACCTAGAGAACACAGTATCAATTAGAATATCAGGTATACTTTAGAGACTAAAAAAGAATATACAATTTATGTAATAGCACTAAAACATATTATATACATTCATCTCAAACTGATGGAGTAGTGACAATCCCTAATGAAAAGTTTCCTGAAAATAAATTCCGCCATTGAACGAGCTGCATAAAAGGGCTATGGAATTGCTTTTCTACATTTTTTCAAAACAAGTTTCTAATAAATCTGCTTTGAGTTTAGTTATTCTGGAAAGGACTTCAATTACATTGACCATTTACTTCCATCTAACTTTGAGATATTAAAAAATAGAAGTCAGCAAAGGAAATACTTAACCTGAAGCTGTGATAATTATATGCAATTCTTCTGAAGAATATTTTGCAAATAAATATAGCTAAAGCATATAGGAAGACAAACATAGACTTACAACTCTACAGTTCTATCTAAATTCAAGAACACGTATTTCCAAATATTTTATCAGGTAGCATGGTCTACCTGAAAATTTCCATGATTAATTTATCCTTAAGAACCCTACTGTGAATATGGAGGTCTTTTAATTAGATCTGTTTTGCTTCTTACGCCACACCTTCATGTGCAACTTCAACAAATATAAGTGGCTCAGTTTGACTGGCATCAGCAATTTTCAGGTTCTGGAACAATTCAAATTTGCAAATGCTCACTGCTCCATCAGAATGCTTGTCAAGAGATGCTCTGCTAATCAAATAGTAAATCTATTCCATTTTGGTACTTCTTTTCCCCAACCAGGTGTTGGCAGATAAAGAAATACTAATCTGTCATCTCTTAATTGGATCCTGATAGGATCCAATTAAGGACAGTCTTTAATAGTAAGGATAGCCTTTCATTTCTATTAAAGTTCAGCAGTTTCTACAGATGAAAGTCAATTTCACTCTGATGCCACAATATATGTATGTTTGATACCTTAGTACATATTTAGGAAATCCTAAAAGATATATTCTTCCAACACATGACCTGTCATACTGTGCCTTAATTTCCCCCTCCCTTTTATCTGCGAACAGTCACAGCTGGAAGAGCCCACCCCTATCATTCAGAAATTCATCTAAAGAACAGGAAATACCAATCAATCAGCAGTAAACCAAATTCCAAAACTTGTTAGCTTTTTCTGCAAGAAATTAGGGATTGTTTTTTTTATTGTATGTTGACTTTATTTGAAAGCTTGCTCCTCAAAATAACTGTTGCCAGGATGCTCCAATAAGTCAAAGATGCCCCTAAATTCTTTAATTGTAAAAGTCAGTGCAATCGTGTTTTGAATCAGCAATGTTACTGGTATAAACAATTTTTAATGAGAATAAATAAATGGTCTGTAGGCAAACCAGAACAATTTCTGATAACAAATACTAATTATATGTAACAAAAATACAGGTCCACTGAAACATTTATTTACTTTTTAAAAGCTGATTATTTGATTAAAATAACTGAAATCCCCAAACCCAAATTCCACCTTTTCCACAAAATTTCTCTTATTATCGTATTATTTTTATTATGATGAAAATTCATTACCATTCTTCATTTTCATTCATTGATACTATTGTTAGTTCTTGAAATCCAGTCCACGGATAGTGTTGATTTTCTTATTTATTCTCTAATAATTTTAACCAAAGTAGAACGGTTCCTACCAATCTATATAATTCAAAAATTCAGAGGTTTCACAGCATGCAAACCTTACAAAATTTTTCCAGGTTTAATGAACTATAAGGTATATTCAAAGCATCACCAGTCACTTTAGGATTGACAGACATAAGGTTTTAAAAGAAGGACACACAGTTGTAACATAATTAATTTGAATGCATAAATAACTAAATAAATAAATAGCTATTAAAAATTACTTTACATTTAAATATTAGACCAAGGCAGCATTTCATAAACTAAACTTCACAGGTAGAACTGACAAATATTTAAAATGTGGCATGATACATCATATGCTACATAATTCATTCAGACCTTCAATATAGAATGTATCCCTCTACATTAAAGGGAAACAAGCCATAAATAACAACTGGTGATTCAATGGAGTCTATATCCAACATGCATTTTTATATCTTTATACACAAGTTTCTTGCAATAAATGGCTCTCCCTTCCTGGAAGAGGACAAAGGAAAATAAACTCAAATTTGAGAAAATGATTTGATGGCATTCTATTGTATAAATACTCTTTTTTTTTTTTAGATTTATCAGTAATTAATCTGGCATAATGGATGCAGATCAGTAATTAATCTAGCATGATGGGCTCCGTGACATAATTCCTGAAAGAGGAAATACTTACCGGTAGCAAGTTATCAAAATATGTATCAAAATCTCGGGCTTTTTTAAAATCAAGAGGACTTTTAGGAATGAATACACAAACTCCTAATATACTAAGAGTAAGAACAAGTTTTTTGATCAGTTTTTACATTTCTGAGCTCCAAAAGCACACCTTTGGTTTAACAGTATGCAGATAAATGGCATGGAAACCAACTATTTTTGAAGACTCTAAGAAAAGATCAGTTACCATCCAAAAAGTAAGTAGCCATCCTTTCTGAAACAATCTTTCTTATAAAGTTAGTACGGTTCTAATGTTAGTTCTGGCTTTTATTATGGAAAAGAATAAAAATCCAGGAAGTGAAATAAAATTTAATATACTTAAATAGAAAATTCACAAAAAATTATTCACAAAAAATGGAGTCTATAATTCTATAACTTAAAATAATTAAATCACTCCCATTAACTTTTTAAAGCCAATTGTTAACAGGTATACAGATATCACTCCTGAAAACATGTTAGGTGATAAATACGTAGGACATAATTTAAGCTAAGAGTTTGTTACACTCATGAAAATTTAAATATCGTACGTTTTCAATGCAGGAAATTAATATAAAAATATGAACAATGTCCTTCAGATATTTAGTGAACACGATAAAGTAATTCAGGATGTTTTGATCTTCTATACAGCCGAGGCAATGAACATTCTTTCAGACCACCCAAAAAGATTTTAAAAAAAACAAAGTGGATGAACTGATCAACGTAATTCCCCTTTTACCTTTGTCCTATAATAATTATTGTCAGCTTAGCATGTACTAAAGTAAAAACCAAAGCCAAAGGCAAAGACAAAGAGAAAGGGAAAGTGTGTATGTACGCGCACATGCACATTTCTTAAATATTTATATTTATATTAACTCCCCAGTTGAGAATACCTTTCCTCTAAAATAGATCTGGCTTGCACAATCGATGCTCTTCACAGGAATGACTTGTTTATTTCAAGATCCATTTAGTTGGAAGACTTTGTTTGTGATTTATAAATCATGCTATATTTGTTACCATCTGCTATTGTAATGAAGAAAATAAGTATCTACCACTGCTAATAAAAATTAATTAGAAACAATTAAGATAGCATTATGATTTTAATTATTAACTATTAAGATAAAAGTTTCATCCAGAAAATCAGCAATGCCAGGATTCCATTCTTTTAGACCAAGGATGAGCAATCTTTCAGTGAACAATGGCCACACTTTTTTTAACTGATACTTTTGCTTTTCATACACTGTATTGCTGAATATAGTGACATTATGACTTCATAATGTCACTATGACTTTATGACTATGACATTATGACTTCATAATGTCATTTAGTGACATTATGACTTCATAGGGACAGGCAGAACCAAGATTTCCAGACCATTTGGTAAAGGGTTGACTTGTATCTCTGTTACCCCAGTGAGAGATGGGATTGTATGAAACTCTGAAAGGCAGTTAAATCAAATAATTCCTTTGAAATGATTCAATGCATCAAATCCTGCAAATTGCCTGTGTGAAGACATGCTTTTTATCAAATCAACTGTTCAAATCAAATAGACTCAATATTCAAAGTGAACTGACCGTTCAGATTCTCAAACATTCAGATCAAATTAACCCAGTAAATCAAATTATTTAAATAAGATGATATGTGATTCACGTACTTTTAGTATGTAATTTAGAATAATTTTAAACTGGACTTTTTTTCTTTACTTATAGAATTTCTCTTCCATTTCTGCATGAATTGTAGATTGAATTTTTAATGCACAAAACATTTTAATTTTAAAATTCTCATTTTTCAAAATTAATACTGAATTTAAATATTATGATTTCACATTTCAGAAGATCACATTCTTCTTATATAACCAGAAATTTATCTCTGTCAAAGATTATTTGTGGATCTAAACCCCAAAGGTGATGCCAACATCTAATTTTTTTTAAAGGGACAGAAAGTGAACATTAATTAATTGCCATTTGAGAATATCATGTTTTGTTTTGTACTGGCCCATCTAACTTCTTTGTCATAATCTTACCATTTGGAGGGGCAACACCCATCCCAGAAAAGATTGCACATCCCTGAACTATATCAGGTACTTTCTTTATTTGAATTTTCAGAAGAGTCCAATTAGAAAAATACAAGACTATAAAAATACCTTTGGGGGTTCCATCACTTCCAGCGGGAGAACATACTGACTGTGGTGATCTCAAGGAAAATGATGCAGTGTTCCTTATTGAAGAATCACCATCCTAGGATAATTAGAAATGAACAAGTTTTTAAATTATTATTTTTATGAAGTGGCTACAACAATAACTCCCAATATTTGTAGCAGTTCTAGAACCTATCTCAGCCATGCTTTGTTTACAACTTTCACTACTGAAATAAGACTTTGCTAGGCAGCCATGAAAGCTTTTGGTAGATCTTTCTTGGTGGTAGGTGGGGGTGGTACTAAGGAGTTGTCCTTAATTCTTACTAGGTAATGAACACTGAAAACCATGCAAAAGTCAGACAAATTGCTCTGTGGAGAAGTTTTTAGCAAAGCTAACAATTTTAATATAATTTGGAGCTAGAAATACATACACATCAAGAGATGTTTTAAACAACCAGCTCATCTACCACTTGAGATACTTCAGCGAAAACAGAAAATATTAGCCTATATTAATTATATACATAGTTCACAGAATTTTTGCACATTTCTCTCCTATGTTCCCTTTTACATCCACCAAATATTTAAACAACTGAGTTATTAATGATAACTTAAGACTATAGTAGGAAAGGTACCATGGAGAGGTTTAAACAAGAAGTCTTACATAGGACATTTGATGAGGCATTAGCAAATCAAATATAAGCTGTCTCGCCACAAAAACAAAAACAACATTAAGGAGTTGTCCTTAATTCTTACTAGGTAATGAACACTGAAAACCATGCAAAAGTCAGACAAATTGATCAAAGTGTGTGTGAACACTCCTGAACATGCAAAGGGAAATAAGAATTCACATTATCACACACTGGGATGGTTTAAGTTTATATAATATAAGAACACAGTCACATCAGACTAAGATTCATTATTATCTGTTCAGATACAATGCTTAATAAGACAAATACTAAAAGGACATTATTACTCATGGCTTTTAGTCAACTAATTTATAAAATGGGACTCAGAGTGAAAGCATGAGCTTAGCTCTTAATTTCATAAAGATAAAACTGCATATAGCTAATTCATAATACAAGTACCTAAACAAAGACATATCTAATTCAGAGAACAATACCTTCTTGTTTATAAAACTTAAGGAGTGATTAACCTGTATTAAGAGGTAGAAAAACTAAAGGCTAACATAAATATTTCTTACTTCACTGCTTATTCTGTGCACCATTTGTAGGTAGTCTTCGCTAGAGCCATGTCTTGAATTATCAGCATGGTGATTGGCTGAGCTGCCCAACTGATTTGTAATCTTATTTTCATGTATATTCCTCATCCCACCTGAGACAATAGGACTGGATACTGAAGCTGAAAGTAAGATTATACAAACATATACATAAACATTTTCTAACAGCTTTTCAAGCACATTACTTATTTTGTATTAGGCCTCAACCTGCTGTTCATTTTTTCTCTCTTCCATTCTACTTTACAGGCCTCCTGATTTCTACTATGAGCAATACATCTCCTTACATTACAGTCTCTTGCGCACAGGGAAAAACATTAACAGCATGGGTTACACAATCTGTATGTTTATTTATATTTATTAACATGTCAAATTTATATGGCCACAATCTCACAAAAAGTGACTCTGGGCAGCGTACAACAATTAATAAAACAAACATATAAAAATAGTTATTATTAAAAAATGTTAAAAAACCCACAAGGCACAAGAGACAGTGAATGTTAACCACAATAATGTTCCAAAGAGAGTATAAATTACACAATTTTAGCCTACATGCATTGCACCTAAAGGCATGAAGACCTTAAAAACTCATCAGCATTTTGCAAAATACCTGTTGGAGAAACCCCATTCCCTTCTTTGTAGAGAATGCTAAGAGTAAATATTACATATATTTTAATTTTTCTCAAAATTAAAGAACAGCGTTTTCCCCATCACTTCAAAATTTTCAGAAATTGTATAACTCTAATAGTCAAACATGAACCCAATATGTGAACATGGAATAGGTACAAAGACATATCAGACACAGTCAGATTCCCATAATTACTCTGATGTGCAGCACAGGATAGATTATTTAGAACAAAACACTGGTCACAGCAAATGGTCCTTTTGGTATGATGTGATGGAGTTGCTAATTCCCCTTCACATTCATGTAGCCAAGGTTACAAAGAGTGATATAAATTAGATCATTGTACAGGGCTAAAATTTCTGTTCCTCTAGCCACAGTTTCATCCCATAGCCAAGCAAGAGTCAATTTACACTTGAACTGGTTAATAATGCAGAAAAAATAAATTCAATGGATCAAAATATGTGGCATAGATTTGGAAAAGAACAAAAAGAAAACTGAATCTAACATTATAACTCAAACACATAATCCAGAACATGAATTAAGAAAATCTGTATCCGAGGCAAAAGGCACGTATGAAATATGGACACTGTTATAGAACAGCAAGTCTCATGCAAATAAAATGCTTCTATACTGCATAGTAGAAAAATGTAACAGAGAATGGTTCATACATGGAAAATTTAGCACAACCCTAACTTTAACCTATTTGTGAATGTGCCTCATATCATGCTTAGAAATACAATTTCTTCATGAAATTCATGAAGTTTCATGACAGGAAATTTAGTATCCACTGGATACCACACACATTATATTTACCCAAAGATGACTCTGAATTTTATATTAAAGTTTCCTAGAGAGTAATGTCATCCTCAAGAACCAATTTGGTGTAGTGGCTAAGGCACCAAGCAAGAAACTGGGAGACCTCAAGTTCTAGTCCTGCCTTAGGCACGAAGTCAGCTGGGTGGTATTTACTCTCTCTTAGCCCTAGGAAGGCAATGGCAAACCACTTCAAAAGGCAATAAAAATATTGATGATGATGATGATGATGATGACGATGTCAACCATTATATGAATATATCCTTTCCATCACTATAATGCAAACACTACATTATATTGCAAGAAAGTATTTGGGAAGCAAGAATTGGAAACATATATACCTGTCAGCCTTCCCAGGTAAACCAGACAGGAAACATGACCATATGAGCTACTTCTACTTTACTGTTACACTACATTAACAGAATCTTGCAAGTCTGAAAGTACAAATCTCTTGCTGTCCTTATTTACTGCCTGATCAGTTAGGATGGGTCCTTTCTAAGTTTCTTTCTCTGTCTGTTACTTAGTTGCAGGCTCCTCCCCCTTTTTATTTGATGGCTCCCTAGGCAGTATCTCTCTCCCCACCCCAGTCTTCCAAGATTATTCTCACATTCCATTACAACACCAGATTAGCCATCTTCATCAACTAGGATGGGCCAATGAAAATTTTATTATTCTTGAGTCAGGATTCCCATTTTAGTAATCTGCCACAGCCTGCATAATAGCACTGAATAGGGTGGATTTCAAAGTGAGCAGAGCAAAAGTTACTCAACATATAATCCATTACTTTTCTCTTACAAACTCCACCTCTTTCACAACTGGCACTATTAAGAAATATTAACTTAAAGGCATTATCCCTTTAACTACAAGCATACGGTACAATTTAGCATGTTCTGAAAAGAAGAAAAATACCTTGTTGCATCTGTGGGTGAGGCGTGTAACTTGGAGGATGTGAATATGGCAAATATCCTGCAGGACTTTGAGGAGCATATGGACTAGGCACTGGACTGTTTTGTGGTGCCATGAATCTATTACCAGAGCTTGACTGTGGTGGCACAAATCGACTGCAATAAAATCCAGATAAATACTATAAGAGCACTAATATAATGTCTCCCTAATAATTTAATTATATATTAGCTTGAATTTGGAGTAGCAAAAAGCCTTTCAGATCATAGAAGGCTGATCAGCAAAAGAGGACAAGAGAGTTTCTTCTATTAAAACATCAGGTATTGAAATCACCATTCAGGATTAATTTTGTTGTCTCCAAAGAAGGTGACCCCAATTCAGAGTTTTTATTATATGGAAATATTTTTTCAAAACCTTATTGCAGTTATCTTAAACTTTATGACAACTTCTGAAATCACCATTCAGGATTAATTTTGTTGTCTCCAAAGAAGGTGACCCCAATTCAGAGTTTTTATTATATGGAAATATTTTTTCAAAACCTTATTGCAGTTATCTTAAACTTTATGACAACTTCTATCTTTAAACACCATGTTTCCATTGTACTGTAATAATACGACATCACACATGACATTGCATCATAAGAAGCCATCTACTTGTATTTCTGTAACTCTTCTTGATTCTCTGTATCTAAAGAACTATGCTTGGTTCTTTGGATCCAAATCACTGTTTATCAATATTCCCATCCTTGGTAGATCAGCCAGACAAAATGAACAGCCAAGAACTGAACAACAAAGCAAATTAGTGGTAAAAGCATGTAACATTTTAGTTTTGCAGTTTTTAAGCTACTGTTGTACCATAATTATCTGCACATTTCAGATAGTTATGTAATTATTATCTGAACATGTACATAAGTATGTAAAAAAGAAAGATGGGATCTGTATGAATCCAAACTGACTTGCTTGAAGAATACAGTATTCACTAATATTTGTTATGAACCCATATTTATTATTTATTTATTTATTCATTCATTCATTCAATTTATATAGCCACCCATCTCAAACCAGTGACTCTGGGCAGCTAACAACAACATATGGTGTCTACACAAAACAAGCATAACAGCTAAATTTGTAACCTTGCACAAATGTTCTGTCTAAAAAAGTACACTCCTGCTGTCTGTTATAGCTGCCTGCAGTTATTCTTTTATTAATCATTTAGTTGATTATTTAGTTGATCATAAGCTGCATTAACTACTTCTCCTTTTTCTAACAGCTTCTAGTAAATGCCTTACTCCAGTTTCTCTTCAAATTTTATTAGTAAATGCATTTATATAACTCTAATAACACACTTTATAAATACTGGTCATTGATAAATTTATTTGATGTGCAATTTTACAGACTGAATCAAATAAGTAATAAGATCCCCATGTCTGTAGTGGGAAACTGTTTTAATATCAGTTTATAAATTTCAGTAGCTATTAGAATCTTCCTTATTTTAAAAAAGATCAGTCTTATTGGATCCTACTGCATTTGTGCAGGAAAAAAAGTGACTAAATCATTTTGTTGTTGGAAATCCAGTGAAAATACACTTCATTAAAACATATTTTTGAAATATCCTAAGGTTATTGTATTCTGGGAAGAAGTAATAACATTTATTAATTTGACTTTGACACTAATAATTTTGGACATTCATATATTTTTTTAACTACATACCTGTTACATGGAAACTGACAGCTGAACAACAGAAAAAGATTCTCTGTACCATTCTTATTACTAAGAGATTGGGCTTGCAGTATTTAAAACATAAATTTATGAACCCAATTACTCAGAGGATTGAAGGCCTGATATCACGTGATTTATGAACAGGTTGCTTACAGATATAGATTATGTATGGACAATTACAATGAAATATGATAATCCTTTATTGGTACTGTCGTCTAAAATCTCATATACATATACGTGTGTTTGTGTGTATGAGAAGGCCTTATATGTCTAAACAATGTTGTTTTATTGCTTTCTTTCTCTTACACTACTGTTTTCTTTGTTCTGTTTGATCAAATAAAGACAATATTTTTAAAATGCTAGAAATTTAATAAAGCAGTGCACTTTGAATCAAGCACCTATTAATTTCCTAGCATTGCCGAAACTACTAAAAGTACATCCAAATTATTGTATCCCATATACTTCACAGGTTTCAATGAGGTATAAATCAAATGAAATCAAAATAAATAAATATTTGTTGTTATGGACCCAAAGAACCATACTTCATAATTTGGAAAGATGATAAGCTATATACCTAGAAGGACTATGAGAGATAGTGGTTTGCTGATAATTGGAAGATGCAGGACTACCATGCATGGAATTCTGAGAAAGTTTGTACTGTGGCATCATCATTCCTAAAAAAAGAAGAAGAAGAAAGTTCTGAATTATCTCCCAATTTGTCAGCTTCATAACACAATTCTTACAGCCACAATCATTATGCAAAAAAGCTGTTGCAAATATGGACAGTACATGTAAGATAGCAGAACAAATTCTTATGTAGTTTAGCTATAATCCTAGAAGTACATGATTCATTTTCAACAATATGTATCTCTTCTCTAGGATACACATACTGTAGTATGCTACCACCGAAACTGTACTTTGGAAAGGCTTCTTAAAATCCTTTGTTGAAAATAGCAACTCTATATCCAGGGACTTACAAAGATAGACCAGTAGATTAACTGTGATTTGTCCATTTAGATTTCACAATAAATCATAGTTAAATGTGATGCTCAAACACAAGTATTCCTGAATGTAGATTTCAACATGTAAGAACATGCCAAAATGACTTTTTCTAGGAATACTGCACTTGCTTGAAAGGGATTGTTATTCTGGTATTAGTCTGAATAGGATTTTTTTCAATGTTCTAGGCTGAAATGACCAGGATACATATATCATGTTATTAAAAAATAAAATAAACCAACAAATTTGAAGTTACATCTAAAATCCATTCACACTGTCACACTAGAAAGATAACAAAGTTGATTGTTATCTTGCTTTAAAAATATAATGAAATGAATAAAAACTCTCACCACTTTGTACCCCATATCTGTTCTGCATGCTTTTTTCCCTGAAAACATTAGGATTCCTTGCCAGGACAGCCTGCAGCAAGACTGGTATATCTCCCTCGGGATCATCACTGCCAAGGTTATCTTTCAATTCTCTGATGAGAGATACAGGAAATACAAGAGTTACAGGAACCAATGAGAATATTATTAAGCATGCAAGCAATGAATTAGAAAACTCATAAAAGATCATCAATGTGCAGAGTGTACAAAGTGCATTTTTCTCAGATGGAGATGGTTTCTTCTTCTTCATGCTCTGTGGCAGGGAATAAATGCATGTAAGTTCTCTACATTATAGTACAGTAGTTGTTTTCATCTTAATGCAGTGGGTTCTCTCACTGCATTAATGAGTCTCTCCATTATTAACTCTCCTATTAATTAAAACACTTGATAAATTACTCCTAATTTTGCACTGATTTTAAAAATGTATCTCTTAGAAAAATAGCATCTAATAAGCACACAACTTCTATAGGATAAAGAAGGCTGACTAGTTTGTTTAAAATGTAATTTCACCATTTTTAAAACAGCAGTGAACTTCCAGTGACCTGTTTAACATGCTACTTATGATTTCTTCTACCAATCTAGTTATAAATAACTACAATGTTTACCAAGATTGTAAACTGTCTTTTTAAACTAAGAAGTATTGATTGTCAATTTCTCAGTGGGTTTTTATACACTGATTGCATTATCTTTCTGCATCAGCTTTATACACTGGGAATTGTAGGTACTGTTATTATGCTTTTACTAGTACTTGCAAAGGCCATGTTCAGAAGAGAATACCTCTGGCTCTTGACAATTTTGCAGTGAGGTTCTGCAGGGTTCCATTCTTTTCCCATTCCTATTTAACATCTATACAAAGCTTTTGGGGGAGACATTAGGTGTTGGGATTGAGGTTTGATAATACATGATGATACTCATCTCTATTTCTCAACATCATCTGTTGAAACTGAAAACCCCTTTGACTGGTGTCTGAATGCTGTGGTGAACTGGGTGAGCCCCCAAAAACCAAATCCATAAAGTAGGACTGTAGAAAGGGCTGTATAGAAGACTTTATCCAGGCATTATGGATACTGCTCTTTATTGACAGGCTTATTCTCCCAATAATCTGTAATTGATCCCAGATCAGGGATGACAATATCTTTGGCTTAGGGGGACAAGGGCGAATGTTTTTATTATTACACTCAGCTTCTGAGGTCTCCAAAAGGCATAGCTGTGATGCAGTGACATCACTGGAGCTGGTAACACTGAATTTTAGTGTTTTTTAAAGGGGCTTGGGCAACTTTAAAGAAAATAATTACATTAAATTTGCATTTATTTTATTGCTTAAAGAGCAGAAGAGAATGACAGAAAACAGTATCACCACAAACTGCTATTTTGCCACCAAGTTTCAACAACACAGTCCTGAGCCTATACAAATGGGACTAGGAGCTGCATACAGCCTGTAGATTTTCTACCTCCTCAAGCTACTGTTATTAATAGGCATAATTACAACCAGTGTGGTAATTCCTGAACATAGGGATTCATGTACTTTTAACTTCAGAATTGGATTACTATAATATCCTTTTATAATAGGGATGCCTTTGAAATCAGTCTAAAAGCTAATTCTGGTGCAAAATCCCACATCTCACTTACTGAAGGAAGCAACTCACCATGAACATATTACAACTATTCTGAAGGAGCTTCAATAGCTACCAATTGTTACTAAGGCAAATTTAAGATACTTGTGTTGTACAAAATTCATCATATCTTAGGACCTGGATATCTAGTAGCTCTATACTTTATGTACTTGCCTGGGTTTCAAGAACTGTTAAGGGTATCCTCTTAGTGGTACTGCATTTGCCAGGGATTTTCTAAGAAGCAACCCATCACTGGCAGAAGACACAGCTGTGGAATTCCACCTTTGCTCATTTACAGCTGAATCTAATACAGTATTTCAGCACTAAAAACCTGTGTACTTACCCAGCTTTTAACTGAATCTGAGTTGCTGTAAGTTCTGCTATTGTTGATATTCTTGTCCTGGATTTAAGATGCTATAATTTTATGATTTTATGTCTCTAATACAATTTTTAACTCTTTTGAAATTATTACACTTAACACTATAAGTGAAAAGCATGAACAACATGTGATATTTTTATAAATTAATACCTTAACATCTAGTCTATTTCACAGCCCTAAAAAAAACACAAGTCTGACAACATTCTGAGATCCAGTACTTCAGTATATTTAAAACATGATTCATAAACCAAAAGCAGAAAAGATATTGAAAATCATGATGCAGTCACACTATTACAACATTAGTGTTGCAATCTATTACCTTACTCTGCTTCATTTGTTAGTATCTTGTCACTCACTTTTCACTAGATCACTAAGCTATATTGATTTATTTGATTTATATCCTACCTTTCATTCAGGAGATCAAGGCAGCATATATAGTGCTCTCTCCTCCTATACTGGCCCACAACAAATACTATTAAGTAGATTGAACTAGAAGAGTCTTATTGGCCTAACATCACCCAGTGAGCTTTTTGGTGAGGGTAGATTAGAATTTAGCTCACCCCACTCGTAGTCCAGCCCTTTAACTATTACACTACACTGGTTCTCATTTCATTGTAGGAGATACTTTTTTCTCTTTCTCTATTCTTCTCCCTCTTATATATGGACTCTGTCCATAGTGATGTCTGATTAAAGCTATCTGATTAATTTATAATTATATAAGTGGTAACAAGTTGGTGATAACATCTGTATAATGTCTTCTGCTTGATTTCTACAACCCAGCAATATCTATAACCTGCCTTTGATCATTCTAAACACACGATAATCAATTTTGAAATGCTTTGCTTTAAATACATACATGTGATCTGTTGACACCTGGTTGAGGCTGTGTACAAGTTGTGAAACCAGATTTTCATCCCTACAAGCCAAAAGACAGTTCACCTCCTCTGCAATTCGTCCATTAAAGAGCAGGCTTTTTGTAGTTGTGGCGGGTAAAGGTGATGGAAGAGGCAGCTGGTTCAAAACTGTTTAGAAATGTTTAAGAATAAAACATTATTCCATCAAAAAATCAACATTTTAGAAAATTAAATTCTTCTCCCATCTAGCACTCCTGCAGTATTAAACACAGTGATTCAGAGCATTTCCAGTAATAATGCCTCTGACACTAGTTACTATTGATACTTCTGAGCCTTCCCCAACTTGATAATGCCTGCTAAGAATTCCAGAAGCTGTAATTCCAATGTACCTAGAGGGCTTAGGGAAGCCTGTTCTATTTCCATGCCATATTACATGTTACTATTCTCTTCTTCTGCATATCTGTGTGTAACAATCAAGTGTCAGATAACTAACTATCTGTTACACATCAAGAATTGGCCAGCTATCTGTTATCCTTGAATCAATGCCCTCCTGCTTAGAGCTTAACAAAATATTGTGGAGAAGGCTGGGGCTTCCTTGCCATCCAGTGCACAATTTTCATTGCCTATATTTGTGAAGGTTTTTATTGGATAGGGGGTTAATTTAACTGCCTTGCTTTTTGTAACTGAAAAATAAATTAACTTCAAAATACAGTATTTCTCTGTCAGGTTGAATCTGGGGGTAAGAATACTGCACTATAATACACAGTTGCACTCATATTCACAAAAGTGGTACAACAATGTTTTCCCCTGTTCTCAGATTGCGATCAAAAAGCACAAAGTACCTCTATTCTATCCAAGAAAAACTAGGTAGAGATTTGTTATAGCAATAGCCAAGGCATGCCCAGATAAACTACTCAGTACTTCTAACTGTCCCTATTTATATATACATTTATTTCTTTAAGGAATCACATTCCAAAAGATATTCTGATATAAACAGAAATACATACCATAAGTACAAGGAGAATTTCTGTTAAGTTTTAATTTAAGAAGAATTTACTTAGAAAGATACTTACGATCAGTAAGACTAGCAATCCCTGCAAGAGTAGTGATGGGAACATGAGGCATATCCCCATTCATCCTGAAGTGCTTGGGATGGTGGTGCTTACACACAGATTTTAGTTCGGGTGCCAGCTATCATTACTTCCCATCTCCCACACACTGGAATGAGAAAGAAAGACTCCATTTGCAAAGCAAAACAGAATTCAAGTTTGAAAAAATCGTAAACAGCATAGAGTTTTATTTAATATTTCAATGTAAAAGAAAGCTATGAAAAGTAAAGCTAGGATAAAGTGAGTAGTCTATATGATCAATACAAGAAAAATAATTGGAGCAGTCTTGTAGATGTATGTTCATTTGATGTCACTAACCCTTCAGGGTATAGTAGTAAGAGAAAGTTCAATAAAGATATGATGCAGTACATGGTTTTAGGTGTTGTTTAACCAGAATCCTGTTATCTATTAGAATGGCTTAAATGAACCTCAAATCACATTGGTCACAGTACTGCAGAAATAGATTTTGTATTATCCAAATCATTCTGGCTCACATATAGTCAAATAAACTTTATACAGATTGATAATTTTGTCCATTTATCTGCAAAGTTGAAAAAAACTGCAATTAACATTTATTAAAATAGCACTCATCAGTCTTGTACAGGGATCTCTGAATTGATTTATTCACAAGTAAAAGCAATTGTTCTTCAAAGTATGTGCTATAACAAGGAAGATATAAAATACTTCTACAATCTTTTTAAAATACACATAAAATAGATTAAGTAAATACCCAATACATGATGTATGAACTTCAACATATTTTGCAGTCATGTGGATTGTATGGGTTATGCATTCATCGTGGCCCCTACATTGATTCCCTGATGGATACAGATTCGGTCTTTCGGTAATGAGCGAAACAAGGCAAAATCAATGAAAACAATGACTGAAGCATTCCAGAGATATGATTGTACTTGAGGTCAAATAATTTGTTGATTAGTTATTCTAGTTATTAAAACACTGAAGAAATGCTATTGAATGCATTGGAATAAAGCATATATGCACAGGAACCCTTTAGAGGGAGTTAGGATCATGCTGATGAACTCTGTTGAATTTATATCCTACCTTTCCTCCAAGGAGCTGAGAACATTATGCATGGTTTCTTCTACCTATTTTTTTCTCATAACCAGTTTGAGTTAGGATTGGCTGAAATATGATAATGGGTTCAATATCCAAGCTGACAGTCTAATTTGTATAATCAACTGATCCAAGCAGAATATGTCTGAACTTCAGGGACTGCTTATGTAGTTCCCATTTCTATTTTTAATCTCATGACAGATCTTATCCAGATCAGGATGAACTTCCTATCAGACTAACTTGTTAGAAAACAACAACCACCCAAGAAAGTATATAATATCTGGATAAGTTACTTACATAGATAACTGGCTTGTTAATACAGGTAATCCTCGGGTTATGTCCATTCGTTCAGTGATTGTTCAAAGTTACGATGGTGTGCTGAAAAAATGGACTTACAACCATTGCAGCATCCCTGCAGTCATGTGATCAAATTTTGGGTGCTTGGCGACCAGCCTGCACTTACAACCATTGCAACATTCTCCTGTCCTGCATGAACTGCCTCTGCTTCAATTATCTGCCTATCTCTCCCCCCCATCTCTTCCATTTTGGCTGCCCTGCACAACATGGCTTTGATGAAGCCGCTGTATTCCACTGCCGTGTGCCCACTGCCACCCCCCCGCCACTGCCACCCCCAGCCGACCTTAGTTCTCTTCTTTGCCTCCCCTTCCCCCCACTGGGTTCACCAACACTGGCTCCATGGTGTGCAGCTCTGTCAGCCCTGCTGTGCAGGGCGCCCCCACCACTTGCCAACACCTCCCTGGCCACTGGGCTCCTCATGGGCCTGCCCCACTTCAGCAATCTCAACACACCACAGAAAGTCCGTGCCTCACTGTCCAGTGGGAAGATTGCCCCGGCCAGCAGCAGCACAGAGGATTCAGATTCAGATTCAGCCTCAGCCTCAGCCTCAGCCTCAGCCCCAGCCCCAGCCCCAGCCCCAGCCCCAGCCCCA